CTTTGTAGCAAACTTGTCCGCAATCAGTTATTCACCACATGTATCTATAGATACATGTGTAAGGAATGAAACAACACATAGATTATTTTCGTTTTTTATATCATTTTACATGGTATCAAAGCGGGTAATTGAAGTTTGATCCAAGACTCTAAAACTCTTTCATGGCATCTAAAACCAATGGAAGCTCGTCCATGCCGCAGATCTTGGATCCCAGTTCACCATACTTCCTACATGTGTCAAACAACCCAGGGCTCGTTTTGGTTTCATGCCTGTTCACCGAAGAGAATTATCCAGTATGGCATCAAGTGATGAGAATGACACTTCATGCAAAGAACAAGCTTTGTTTCGTTGACGGATCGTTGCCCCGACCACCCATCGCTTCACCAAAAGAAAATGCCTAGTCCAAATGCAATGTGATGGTGGGATCTTGGATTTTCAATTCCCTCTCTAAAGAACTATATGGAAGCATCGCCTTCATCAAATCTGCATCGGAAATCTAGTTCGAGCTCCAAGAACGTTTTTCTTAGAGGAACGTTCCTTGCATACATCAATTGAAGGATGATCTATTCGTACTTTGACAAGGAGAATTAGGCATTTTTGTGCATTTCACCAAACTGAAAATGCTTTGGGATGAGCTAGCCAGCTTAACCGATTTGCCTAAATGTTTCTGTGGTGGCGCAACAAGACTCTTTGCCATTAAACGTGAAAAGGAACATTTACACCAGTTCTTGATGGGACTTAATGAGTCCTATTATGTCATTCGATCAAGCATACTCAGATCACTACCACTTCCAACGTTAAATAAAGCCTATGCCCTTGTCCTCTAGGAAGAACGACACTAGATAATCTTGGTGATGCAGGGACTAGCACCGGAAGCTGCAGCCATGAACACTTCAACCAAGCCCCCATCTTGGTCCTCAACAACTAGTCGTTCCAAATATTATTGCGAACATTGTAAACACAATGGACATACAAGAAACCGGTGCTACCAACTAGTGGGATATCCATCTGGATGGGATAAATCCCAATCAAATCGATGGGGTGATAATTAGCGATCCAGCTCCTGTGCAACTTTCAAAGCCACCAAAGCATCAACCAGTAGCACTCCTTCACTTACCACTCTGATAGTCCAATAGATAAGCCAGGTTCTGTCCCTCATGAGCAAAGACTTTGATGCCATTTCTGCCAATACCGCTGGTAAGACTATAACCAATGTTGAGTGGATACTAGATAGTGGTGCCACAGACCATATGATTCCATCCCCATCATGCTTTCTTGATTATATCACATTCGATAAACCCAAGATTGTTCGACTACCCAATGGAGACTCTATTCCAGCCATATCATAGGGGTCTGTATCCCTGAGATCTTTGATCATTACAGATGTGCTTTACATACCTCAATTTACATGCAATTTTCTATTTGTCAGTAGACTAACACAACGACTCAGTTGTGTTATTTCCTTCCTTTCTTCCATCTGTATTCTCCAAGACTTAGCCTCCAAGAAAGTGATTGGGGTGGAGAATCGACATGAAGGCCTCTACCAGTTCACCTTCGTCTCTTCTCAATCACTTGCTCACACTGCCACCACAACCCCAACCTCAGTCATCTGGCATTATCACTTAGGACACGCTTTTCGTCAATGCCTCTCTTCAATACTTGGTGTTCCCATCAATGTTTCAAACTATTGTTGTTATGCTTGCCACCAAGCAAAGTAAACTCGAATCCCTTTCCCATAAACCAAACAAAATCCCCTCAACCTTTTTAGCTAGTGCATTGTGACATTTTGGGGGGGGGGGGGTATACAATTCCATTATACACTAGGGCACACTACTTCCTCACATTGGTTGATGATTTTACCAAGTGTACTAGGATTTTTTTACTTCGGAATAAATCAGAAGCAATTGTTTTCTTGTTTTTTTTGTGCTACGGTTCCCTGCTAGTTTGGGTATGCCATTCAAGTTGTGCGTTCAGATAATGGATCTGAGTTTTATGCTCGCCTTCTTCAAAATTACTTTGCTACACAGGGCATTGAACATCAGCATAGTTGTGTAGACACACCCTAGCAGAACGACATGGCTAAGAGGAAACATCGGCATTTGTTGGAAGTGTCCAGGGCAGTCCAGTTTCATGCTCACATGCCAATCTCATTCTTGGGTGAGTGCCTACAAACAACAGTTTACATTATCAACCGACTAACCACACCTATTCTATTTGGAAAATCACCATATGAAATGTTATTTCACACCCCACCATCTTATGACCACATGAAGGTGTTTGGCTACCTCTATTATGCCCAAGTGCAACCCAAACCCTATGAAAATTTTGCTAGCAAATCCATTAGATGTGTTTTTGTGGGCTATTTATATGGCCAAAAAGGATATCGGCTTTATAACCTTGAAACCAACCAATTATTTACAAGTTGAGATGTCACCTTCTACGAGTCTCAATTCCCTTACTCAAATCAGTAATGTAATGCTGACCAATCTCCACCAACACTAAGACTCTTTCCCCCTACAAACCCAACATTCAATCACTTCACTATACCAACAACTTCCCATGAATTTCATCCACCAATACAAGACCCAATTACAGTTGCATCCATTCGACCAATACCCCACAATTCCTCTACACCCCATGCTTACCGAATGCCTTATTGATGAGCTAAATACAGCTAGACCCACCATTCCAAACCCATTTGGCCAACACAAAAGAACACTTAAAACCCCCTTTCACCTCCAAGATTTCGTTTGTGATGTCCCACCTTCCCTAGCCCCCCAATCCAACTCAGCTAGTACCTCATATTTAGAATCAGAACCCACCACCTTTATTCAGGCCAGTGCTAATCCGCGATGGCGGAAGGCTATGGCTGATGAGATTTATGCTCTTGAACATAACAATACTTGGACTCTTGTTGATTTACCACCTAGAAAACGAGCCAATGGATCCGAGTGGGTATACAAAATTAAATACAAAGCTGATGGTTCAGTTGAATGGTTCAAAGCTTGTTTGGTATCCAAAGGATGCAGCCAAGTAAAAGGTTTGGACTATCATGATACCTTTGCGCCAGTTGCAAAATTATTAACTATTCGATGTCTATTTGATGTAGCTGCCATTAAGAAATGGGAACTTCATCAATTCGATGTTAATAATGCATTCTTACATAGGGATCTCCATGAGGAAGTGTATATGGTCATTCCTCAAGGCTTTGCCAAAGATGGTGATAATAAAGTTTTCAAACTCCAAAAATCCCGTTATGGGCTCAAACAAGCCTCTCGCATGTGATTTGAGAAATTTCAGCAAACCTTTTTCTCACTAGGCTTCCAACAATCCCATATTGATTACTCCCTCTTTACATCCATAAATGGTGACTCCTTTGTCGCAGCCCTGGTTTATGTCGATGATGTTCTACTTGCCGGCAATGACCCTTCTTGTATTTCACAGCTCAAACAATTCATCAATGACAAGTTCCACATCAAAAATCTTGGGCCTCCTAAGTATTTTTTGGGCTCGGAAATTGACCAATCTCATGATGACATATTTCATACGAGAAGGATTACAAGCCATCAACCACTCCTATGGAAGTTCAACGACATTTTATTGACACTTCCAATCCCATTCTGGATGATCCATCATGCTTCTGGCGCCTAGTTGGACGACTAGTTTATCTCATTATCACTAGGCCTGACATATCTTTTGTCGTTAATACCCTAAGTCAGCATATGCATCAACCCCACCAAGAACATCTTGGTGCTACACTTTGGGTGGTCAAATACCTTAAAGGAACTCTCAAGCATGGCATCTTCCTTTCAGCTCACACTAATACTGTTCTTCATGGCTACGATGACTCAAATTAGTCGAGTTGCCCGATAACTAGGTGATCCACTATTGGATACATCATCTTGTTGGGTTCTACGCCCATCTCATAGAAGACAAAAAAAACAGCCAATAATCTCCCATTCCTCTGCCAAAGTTGAATACCGTGCAATGGCATCTGTTACAGCTGAATTAGTCTAACTTTGCCATCTATTAGCTGATCTCATTGTTCATCTGTCATCTCCAATGCAATTGCACTGTAACAATAAAGCAGCTATACTTATTGTCGCCAATTCCATTTTCCATGAGCGGATAAAACATATAGACATTGATTGCCATTTTGTTCATGAACCAGTTCAAAGCGGTATTCTAAAGACCCATCATTTGCCTCGTATCAATGAGCGAGTTGATCTCCTAACAAAGGCAATTCCATATGAAAAATTTCACATACTCTTGTCGAAGCTGGGCGTCTCAATCGTTTCTTGTGCACCAACTTGAGAGGGGTGATAGAGTAAGAGTCATGGGACACATGATCCACTTGTAACAATTAGTTACTTATCACATTCAATTATTCACCACCTGTATGCTGTATCTATTAATACATGCAAGCAATGAAACAACAGTTTTTGTTTTGATAAATTGACACCTCTAAGAATTTGGTGAATGATACTCATAAATAAATAAATAAATAATAATAATAATAATAATAATAATAATAATAATAATAATCAGTTTAGGGAGCCAACCACTTGTAGGTCCTGATTGTACAGGACAACAAATAGGTAGATTTCTACGGCCACGTCTCTCTATCTCAGGCTCCAATCTCTGTTTTATTTTTTCAGGGGCACCAGACTCACCACTCACCATGGTCGGAACAGTTGGCCTGAAATATGAGATTACATCTGCCCCACACAGCGCGCTCTAACATTCACATCCAAACCGTGCATTGAGAACATCTCCCAATGACAAGTACGGAAGATGTTCCCAATGCACGCTCAGATGAGCAAACCTATCTTATTTTCGAACTGTTACAGATGGCACATTCAGCTAAAATCCTGCAATATGGTCGCGTCAGCTAAAACCCTGCTCTGCGGGTGAAGGTAACCTTTCCACGGGCCCACAGCCATGTCATCTGGTGGGTTGCTTCCAAATATTGGAAACCGAAAGTTTTGAGCAGATTCCCCCCCCCCTCTCTCTCTCTCTCTCTCTCTCTCTCTCTCCTGACATGATAGAGAAAGAATGAAAGATGCATGAAGCGCTCCGTCCCGTGTCTTAAGCCCCTCTCTGAGTCTCCCTCTCTCTCTCTCTCTTTCTCTCTGAGATCGACCTGAAGGATCTCCTACCTCTGCAAGGCGTTATACTTGTACCTACTTTTTCGCTCTGATCAGAGGGAGGTATGTTCAGCATGGATGTTTCAATACCCAATTGCCTTCATATTGCTTATCTGTTTTTCACTGATTATTTCATCTGAAGTCGTTACTATAGGGTCCTTCTACCCTTCTATTTACTGAGCAGTTATTTGAAATTCTCTGCCTCCTGTATGCTGCTTTAATAAAAAGATTTGTGCGAGGCAATTGATATTTGCAGCAGGGTCTGTAATCTCTAGTTTTTCCAGTCCCACCCTATAACATTTCAGGTTATTTAAATATTTTGCGCTCTGAAAATTCGAGGATCAACATAATACCTATTGAAGAAATATGGGATTTTTATGGGTTTCTGTCTGTTGATTTTTGTCTTGTTTCATTTATTTCCATACTTACTTTTTCGCCATGGAAGTTGAGTAACCTTCGGAAATAGAAGAGTAAGCTCGCCCTTCGTTTTGGGCCTGTAATTATTTCTTCCAGGTTTGGTGCTTCTGGTTCTTCTACATAAGCAACACACTCGTTAAAGTCTTGAACTAATTACAGAATGACTATTTATCAATTAAAGCTAGTCTAGATATGCTGTTCCATAAAATTGAGTTGATAATGAAGTCCTCCCAAAACGATTTTCTTTAGATTTGAATATAGAGCATGGGCTTTTAGGAATCCCCAAATAGTGGCTCAGTCAAGTAATCCTTATATTAGAAGTTAGAACAATGTTGATGAGATGGTTTTCCGATCATTTTAAATGCGATAATAGTTTTGCTCCGGTGCTTTAAGCCAATTGTGATTGGGAAGTGCAGGGGCAAAACTGCCATTCTGGGGAAGGTGAACTTTAAGCTTTAGCTACCCAAAATTTGCGCTTTAAGAAAAGTTTGCACAGAAGTAATGAGCTTTCATTGTTTGACCATACATTGTTCCTTAGAGTGGAAGCCGAAAGATAAATGCTTTTTCCTTAGGCTGCCTTCTGTGCTGCAAGTAGATAATTGGATTGATATGTGTAAGCATTTTCTTATTCTGCACTGGTTGACTTAAATATTTAGTTGGCAGAAATAACTCATGTTTTTATATATTTTCTTTTAGGGGTTTTTATTGTTCAGTCCACCCCTACAAATCTGAACTTTTACTATCTCAGAAATTGCTACCCAACCAATACTTTTGGCTCTGTTTCTTTGTTTGCAATGCAAATCTGAACTGGATGCAGATTTTGCACCTGGTTCAGTTTTGCATCCATTTGTTTGTGACTGAAATTTGCACTTGTGCCTGATGCAGAATTTGAACCTTTTTAATCTCATTTGCACTAGTTTTTCAGATGCAAAATTTGCATTAGTTTTTCAGATGCAAAGTTTGTGCCACCTTCTTCCGAACACAGATCTGTTGACCACAAAAGGCTGGTCACATCTGTGTGCACCAACACCACAACCACACATTGGGAGCATCTCCTGTGAATGATAATAAATAGTACAAGAGATGTTCCCAATGTGTGACTGTAGATGTAGATGTTGTGTACACACGTTTTGTGGTCAGCAGATCCGTGCTCCCTTCTCCTACATTACTCCTCTTTCATATAAAATGGGATCATATCATTTTACTTCTCACAAACAATGAAACAAACAAGACAAGGTCAAATATGAAGCAAAAGTAAACCAGAATAGACACTCAGTCCATTTGCACTCCCATGCATTTACACCTGTGCAAATTTTTGCACAGCAATGGGGACTTTATAAATGGTTGACATGATTATTGTATGCCAATGATTTAGAGTTTAGAATAAGTAAGCTTTAATTAAGATCTCGTTTTCTTTCTTTTAATCCTTTGTGCACTATCAGCTTCTAACATTTTATTTGCTCTTCTTTGTTTGTTGTGCCTATCAGGTCTGAAGAACTTAAGTCCATCATTTTATTTCATAAAATTTTAGAACCATGGACCCAAGTGGTTATACAGTGGAAGTAACAAGTCTGTCTCCCAATGCGACAGAGAAAGATGTTTATGATTTCTTTGCTTTCTCTGGCACAGTAGAACATGTTGAAATTGTCAGGTATTAAAAGTCTCATAACATTTTTGACACCAGTTTTCATTCACTCTTCTTTTTAATATCAGATTTTGGTTTCTATCTAGATACATTTGGATTCCATTCACAAATTGTATCTTTCACCTTCAAATTCATTGTACATCAGCCATTTAAATAAATAAGAAAATCTTATTTACTATCTTCATCATTTTCTATTCAATTGTTTATTGGAATTTGATTATTTGACCTTAGCTTCTTCTTTAATTAATTTAAACATTTTGAAACTAGACTTTTACCAATTAGCAAATTCATTGATGATTCAATTTGTTTTTGATCACATTAAATTGTTTCAATGACTTTTTTGAGATGGATCCCAAGAAACCTCAATCATTTGGCTGATGGGTTAGCAAAATCTGGTTTGGGAAGGGACTTCTTGTATGGAGCTAATATAATGCCTTACTGCTTTATCCCCTTTCTTTTTGTCTGCTGAGGTTTGTACACATTTCATCTTTTTGTTTACAATATTGTACAAGTTATCTTTCCTCAAAAAAAAGTCCAAACGATTCCAATAATATCTCGTCCTCCTACACTCCTATGGTGTTCCACTATGCTAGCTACAATAGTAAAGGGGCCATTACTTGGTGCAAACCGTGCAATGGTAAAATCTTGGGTTGGCAAGCATGATAACATGGGTTCAAGTTTGAGAGCAGCAATTTTGTGCAAAAAAATGCCAAAGATTAGGACCATATCCAGTCTACCCGTCCCAAGACCCCAGATAGCTGGAACCAACATTGCATAGTGGCCTTAAAGCTGTTAGAACATGTGCAACCATTTAATTAGGTGATTCATGAGATATTTTAGTCTTCTTCCTCCTCTTAATTGAATCTGTCCTAAGTTGTAGCTTGATGTAACATTCTTGTCTCAAGGATGACTTTGATATGAACGGTAGTATAGTGAATCTTCTTGGATGGTGATTTGAGAGATAACTTTTTTAATTGAAAAGACTTGTCTTTTTTTATCAACATGTTTTAGTTCATTGAATTCCGATATGGATTCCAATTATTCCTTGTTTTCTAGATGGATGAGTATATATTACAAAAAAATAACCCCATGGACCAAAACCACAACAGACAACACTACCTCTTCCAGCCAAGTAGGACAGGGCAGTATGTAAATATGAAGAGTCTGATCTCCAAGAACTTTTGAAGCTAACACAATTACCAATATGTTGATTTGGCAATGAACATGAATGCAACAGACTGATTTGAAGTTCTTGGATATGGACTGTATCTCCCTGAGAACCCAAAAGATTGGCAAGAAGTCATCTAATTTTCCCTCTTGAGTTATGAGATGATTTACAAAAGAATCAGCATCTACCTGTAATTCTCTGATTCTGAGTTGATCTTCCCCTGTGATCCCAAGTGTACACCTGTGGCTTCAACCAAGAGAACAAACCCACTGGAGATCCTAGCTTATGTAGTAGATACAAGATTTCCCTCTGGAATTTTTAATAGTTGTTCTCAGGCTGGCCATGGTCATTGTTGGAATAATTGCTACTTTAGTATTTGACTTTCTGAAGATTTCTCTTTTCCATAGGTTCCAATGGTCATTAATTCTACAGATGAATAAGGTTGGGTAGCGACTGTTGTTGGAGAAGATAACACTATTGTGTATTTTACAAATTTATCAACATATCAGGATGGCAGGATGTATTAGGATCTGGTTTCTTTGTTAAAAGCATTATCACACAGCACCTAAGATTATTGTTGACTCTTCATACTGCATAACAGTGGGACAGGATTCATGTAGGATTAAATCAGTCAACAATGATTCAACTACTCAATAACTCTAAGTATCTTATGCTTTTGAGGATGTGTATTTAAATTTTAAAACAGTTCTTAGATCATTGAGATGATCTCTTTATAAGAATTCGAGTACCTGGGCTAAGTCATAATAATCGTTTTTCTGTGCTTTCAGTTGCAATTGTAAATTTTCAAGATGATACAGATGTCATTCTACTAGTTTTAACTGTTAAATATTGCACACTGATGCATCTCTATCACTGACAATTGTGTTAAAATGTGTGTTGTTCCTTGTGACTTTAACCAATTGGTGAGGATAGAAGTTCCTTGATGCATCTGCTGGAAAAATACCAAAAAAAATCTTATAATGTTTCATGCATGTTATATTAACAACGTTATTTAATTTCTGATATGGAAGAATGTCTTTAATAGATGTGGAGAATATGCTTGCACTGCCTATGTGACATTTAAAGAAGCTCATTCCCTGGAAACTGCTTGTTTGCTCAGTGTAAGTTTCATGCAATCTGTGGTAAGAAAAGTTGGTTTATGTACTGGGATACATTGATATCTTGAATGTTTCAGTATTCAATACAGAAATACCTAGTGTCTAAAGAATGGTGTACGCAAGATGAAGTGTATATGGCTTACAGAAGCATGACTCAAAGACGACATATTTAGGAATGTCATATTGAAACTTATTGAGTTCTTGTTATCTTAGTTGCATTTCACGAGTCTTGCCTCTTACTCATTTACTTTAATTTGGATTTTATGATTTTATCAAACATCCAAAATCTTTTTCACTTTCGTTACTTTTAGGCTCTGTTTGGTTTGAAAGAAAAGGAAGGGAAATTAAGTCAATTAAGGAAGAGGTTTCTCTTCCTTTCCTTCCTTTTCTTTCAAACCAAAAACAGCTTTAATGGATAAGCATTTAATCTTTATGGATAATCATTTTTCTCTTTATGAGAATAGTACGTTGTAACTTGTTAAGGGCCCGCGAATAGGATCTCGTCACAGGTCGGTCAACGGGGAAAACCTCTTGTTTTCCCTTGTTCCTCCCTTTTCTTGAGGAACCTATCTTGACGCCTAAATGGTGATTATTAAAGAGATCACCCCCTCTCCTCTGCTATTTCTTGATTGGAAATTTCGATGCCTTTATTGAATATCATCAGCTCCTTTAAATAGGAGATTACAAGAAGATAAGAGTCCTACTTTTAGGAAGGCTCCCTACTAATCTATACTACTGAATTTAGCTAAGATAGAAACAGATAAGATAAGAACACTGAACATATAAGATAGAACTGTATCTAGCTAGATAAGATGAGAACACTGAATTAGATAAGATGAGAACACCGAATCTTGCACCCTTTACTGTTGTTGTCTGCGGCGATATTGCTTCCCAATAAAAGCGTCCACAACATTACTCCCCTCCTGGACTAAGAGCTTGTCCTCAAGCTCGAATTCAGGATAGGTGTCTTGAAACACAGTCAAAGGAATCCAGGATAGGGGGAATGATTTTGCCCTCTTGGATCGGGTTCCAATGAAGAGGGTTCATCCTTATCTTCCTCTTGTTCCACCAGGAGGCAGAAAAGTCTCTTGCACTTGTGCCCTGCTGAGTAAGGTTCATCACAATTAAAACACTGTCCCCTCGCCCTGCGTTCCGCCATCTCAGCTCTGGACAAGTGCTTAATAGGGGGTGCAACAACGCTTCTCCCCACCCTGGATGCCGAGTTGGAATTGTTGCTTGTCTGTGGTTTCTGTTCTTGGCTGGCTGCTGAAGATGGAGCCATTCCGAGTGGTTTCGGGGATGCCCATGCTGTTTGAGGCCGCCCTATACTAATACTTCCGCGGTTGAGTTGCAACTTGCGTTCAAAGGCGCGAACCAAATTCATAGCAGTAACCAGATTGGGGGGATTTTGCATCTCCACATCCACCCTCAAAGTTTCTGCTAACCCCGCCGTGAACATGTCAACCTACTGGTCTGGTTGTACCGATGATGCTCTTGCAAGGAGGGTCTGAAACTGACGCTGATATTCAGCCACCGTTCCCGTCTGTTTGAGGTTGATTAGTTCGCCTAATGGATTGCTTGTTAATGGGGGCCAAATCTAAGAAGGCAGTAAGATTTGAATTGGGTCCAACTGAGCCCGGGTTCCTCCTGCTCCAATCTATAAAACCAGAGCTGCGCCTCCTCCGTCATGTGGAATGCGGCTAAGCTTACCTTGTCTCTGTCCTCTGTCCGTTGGTTGCGGAAGGATCTCCAGCGCCATTATAGGAAGGAAACTCCAGCCTGTTGTATTTGGGAACGATCGCGGCTCCCTGGGCGACGACCTGCTGCTCGCCGGACGATTCTACCATGTCTGGTCGGCGGCCGTTTGTGGTTGCAGCCTCTTCTGGATTCCTTTCCTTGGTAGAAAGATATAACTCCATCAAGCGCCTTAATTCTCGGACGTCGTCCCTGATCTCGCGCACCTCCGTGCTGTTTTCCACGAGCTTGTGCTCCAGTTCATGAACCCTAGTCGTCAACTGCTCAAGGTCACCCATGACGCCCTGCTTTGATACCAGATTATTAAGGGCCCGCGAATAGGATCTCGTCACAGGTCGGTCAACGGGGAAAACCTCCTGTTTGCCTTGTTCCTCCCTTTTCTTGAGGAACCTATCTTGGCACCTAAATGGTGATTATTAAAGAGATCACCCCCTCTCCTCTGCTATTTCTTGACTAGAAATTTCGATGCCTTTATTGAATATCATCAGCTCCTTTAAATAGGAAATTACAAGAAGATAAGAGTCCTACTTTTAGGAAGACTCCCTACTAATTTATACTACTGAATTTAGCTAAGATAGAAACAGATAAGATAAGAACACTGAACAGATAAGACTCCCTACTAATCCATACTACTGGAAACAAATAAGATAAGAACACTGAACAGATAAGATAGAACTGTATCTAGCTAGATAAGATGAGAACACGGAATTAGATAAGATGAGAACACCGAATCTTGCACCCTTTACTACTGCTGTCTGCGGCGATATTGCTTCCCAATAAAAGCGTCCACAACATAACTCAATAAAATCTATAACAATTCAGACTTATATAATTTGGTACACTGTAGTTCAATTGGTCCTAGTAGGGTCTATTTGATGGTTTTCAAGATCTATAAAAGCAGTACTTTATTGTTTTTACTTTAAATACTCTAACCTGGTTGCAAATTTAGAGCTGTACTGAACCACTCATTTCCAGTATTATGCATCATTACAATTCCAGTTAGATCTTTTCTGTTCATCAAGTTCAAATTTGAATATCTCAGGGAGCTACAATTGTAGATCAACGTGTATGTATTACTCGCTGGGGGCATTATGAAGATGAATTTGATTTTTGGAATAGGCCTTCATGGAAGCTGGAAGATGAAACGAGCTCAACTGTAAGTAGTTTTCTTGATTTTTAGTTTGATAATTAGTTCATTATGGCTTCCCAGACACATCAGGCTACACCATAAGTTAAGTATCTTGATAACATGTCAAACTTTGTATTTGGATGATGGATTCCTCCAATTTGATTTTCTTGAACTTGCTTGAATATGGCTAGTGAAGGAAACAGAATGGGCTGCCCAATTATATTATCAATAGCAGAGGATCAAAATGAAAGGCATAATATGAAACATGCCCAGTTAGAATAGCCACTGGTCTGGTTGCTCTCCAAAAAGAAAGTACAATTAAAAGCTAGAATCATCTAAGCAGGCTGTTTTTAGGGGCTATTGCTTGTGGCAATGGTAAAAGTCATGGGTTGACAAATGTGAGAAAGCAGATAACACAGACTCAGTCTGAGAGCAGCCACCTTCATATAAAATCCTCCTATAGCCATGACTAACATTGGTAATGGCCCTTATCTATGCGGGCTATTTTTGTTTTGTGGAGATACCTTAATAAGAGACCTATTAAAACTTTCATGTTGTCAGTAGGCTATTTACTTAATGTAACTTTGGATTTGGTCATGACCCACTCCTTATTAACAGTGTATTAGCTGCAGAGGAGATTACAAAATCTGTTCATTCAATAAGAGATGGTATTGAATAGTCAAGAATGCAAGTTACACTCAAAGAATCCGACTATCTTTACATTATCTCTAGATCTTTTGTCATCCTTTGTTTCTTTCCCATTTTTCATTTTAATTTTTTGGGATTGTTTATCCTCCTGAGGTATTTGCAGGCAGCACATGAAAGTCGCATTGTTCCCACTCCGGGAGAAGCAGTGACAATGGCCCAGGAAATGGTGAAAGCCATGCTAGCCAAAGGATATGTACTGGGGAAAGATGCATTAAACAGGGCCAGAGCCTTTGACGAGTCCCATCAAGTCTCATCTTCAGCTGCGGCCAAAGTCTCTGAGCTGAGCAAGAGAATTGGACTTACCGATAAGGTTTGTGCAGGAGTTGATGCTATTAAATCAGTGGATGGAAAGTATCATGTGTCGGAATCCACCAGATCAGCCCTATATGCGACAGGGAGAACCGCTGCAGTAGCTGCCAACACTGTAGTCAACAGCAGCTACTTTTGCAAAGGAGCTCTCTGGGTGTCGGATGCCTTGAGCCGAGCAGCCAAAGTTGCCGCTGATTTAGGTAGTCATGGTGGTAGTAAAAAATGAAAGTGTTCAGCTAAATCGGGCACAGCTTCTTGATGATGTATATTTTTATATCTTAGTAATTACATTTGGTTGTGCTTTACTAGATGTGGCCTCACTGGGTTCATGGTGTGTTAACATGATATCATGCCCCAGAAAGCACCAGAGAGTGCTCTTTTTAGGAGGTTATGTATAATCTCATTTTGTAATATTTTGGATTGTTTTTTTTTTCTCTCTAATTGCTGTTTGCCAATAAAAAAAAAAACTATTAATCTAATTGGTTCATTCTAGGGAGCGTCTAGGGTGCTATGATGTGTGTGCTTAAATGGTTGGGCATGCATTTGGATATTTCAAGGAACAACTAACAAGGGAAAAATGAAAAGAGCCAATTAGGTGCCATTATAATTATATAATATGGAATATTGAAAGGGAGAAGCAGGATTGTATATTTGTATTCCATAAGACCAGTTTTAAGTTTTAACCCCACCTCTGACACACCCCAGATGCAGACTTGATAGTAGCTCAAGGTCGATCACACCATCCCCCTTCTAAAAGTTAATCAGTGTGAAGTGAGAAGATGGAGAGCTGGTATTGGACTTAGTGTCCAAGGAACTCTTGAGGACAAAACATGAGGTGCCTTACCAATGGTTACATGGGAGACGAGTTTGGATAAACCATACATGTACATTGGCAACATCTTCTGTACTTGTATTTATTATTCATGAAGAGATATTTTTAATACAAAGTAAGATGTGATTGTGAGATGGTGTGAGGCGTGCTCTGAAGAATAGATCCCAATTTATTAGTTTGTTCATGTCAGCATGCATCTCCATTGAGAGAAGTTATTTATCTATTTTTTCTAATTTTTGTATTTTCTTTGTTTTAAAAATATAAAATAGTAATCATTGTTTATCTTGATTAGATTAATAAAGTTGCACACTATTAGAGAAAGATTTTAGGTTTTTCAAGGCTTCTTATTTTAATGCATGTTATTATTACATTTAAAAAAGACATTTGAGAGAGAGAGAGAGAGACCTTTGGATAAATAAGTTGAGGTTAAACAATAAAAAAATTATTAATTTAAAAATCCACTAAACTTCCACTAAAAACAAATATTAACAAAACTTAGTAAATATTACAATTGTGCTTCAATTCCACTTAAAAATCAAACTTAATAAACACTAATAAAAATAAGAAATTTAAATATAAAATATTAATTGATAGTTTTAAACTTTTAATAATATTATTAGATAACTTATGAGTTGAGACCATTATTGTGCATAATGAACTCATTAAAAATGATAAAAAGTAATGGAAATTTAAAATGTAGAATATGTTTTATTAACAATATTTTATTGCAAAATTACTCATGTGCAAAAATCACTGAATAATAATGAGAAATACCAACAATTAATTAAAAATCTAGAAAATTCAGAAAAACCTAAACATAATTAAAATACTAAAAATAATTAAAAATATTGAAAGTTAACAATATTTTATATTAATAAGGGTATTTACTGAAAATAATTAAAAGTACAATTAATAGTATTTTATTATTAAAAAATACCCAAGCCAAAAATTATTGAAAAATATTGAAAATTAGTTGTATTCTTTATTAACTATGGTATTTATTTAGTTAATTTATTTTTATTGAAAGCAAATGCAAATTAATTTTGTAGTGACTAATATGCAAAAATAAATGATGAAAATACGGAAAAATATTGAAAAAATACTCATATGCAAAAATTAATGAATAATAATGAAAAACACCAAAAATTAATTAAAAATCCAAAAATTCTAAAAAACCTAAAGCTTAATTAAAATGCTAAAACTAATTAATAAAATAAAATTAATTATATTTTATTGCAAAAAAAATACTTAATAATAATGAAAAAATAATGCATTTTAATTATTAATAGTAATATAATTACCAATAATTATTTTTAAACTGTAATTAACATTAATTATAATTTAAGCTATAAATAGTAGAAAATTACATTTAATTACCAAAAAGTTATATTTAGTTTCTAGAAAATTACATTTAATTAGTTTTAGCCAAGAAATTAGCTTTATTTTTGAAAATATGATAATTTCTAGAAATTATTGTATTTTAAACGAATATAGTAATTTAATAATTACAATATTTTAATAATTAATAAAAAGTAACAAATTGTTTATAACTTAAGCAACTATTAGACCTATAAATTTGCAGGCTCAAGCAATTTTTTTTTTTTTTGAGTTAGGTCTAGCTGAGATATGCACTATGCCCACCACACATTATCAGGGATAACCGGATTTGAAGTCTAATTGGGTATCAAACTTTTGGAGTTCAGTGATGGCTTTAGTGGATAGGGCCCATGCTAAATAACCCTTAATAAGCTCAACTTGGAAGTTAGATGCACATATGGTAAATATTATTATATGATATTTAATTAACAAATTTTATATTAATATGTATATAGAAATGTTATATATTTTTTATACTAGACTAGAATTAAATGAAAATTTTAATTTGTAAAAAACCAAGATTTATAATTAACATGGGCCTCTTTATCATCATAAAATGTGTAAGCCCGAGCCTGAGCCTGGCCCAACCATCGGGCCTAGATCTTGAGCCCAAGCCCAGCCCTTATATAAAGCTCGAAGCCCGACCTATACACAAAATATCTTATTTTTAGTGTACTTTTATAAACTAATATTATATTAATTTAGTAATAATTTAATAAATTAATAAACTAATTTATATTTCCTAATAGTAAATTGATATTTATTAATAATTTAAGAAGCATATATATATATATATATATATATTATAACATAAGTACTTTTTTTATATGTAATAGTATCGGATCGGGCTTATTTGAGAAAGCTCAAGCTCAAGCTCATGGGCTTGAAATTTTGTCCAAGCTTGAAAAATAATGGGTCAGGCCGGGTTGGGCTGTCGGGCTACCCAAGCCATAAATATGTCTAATTTTATAGATAAACCATTGTATACATCAAAAATCATATGAAATAAAAATTTAAACATCTTTTTCAATTTTTTTTTTTAAATGGACCTTTCATAGCTTGACCCGGTCTACGGCCGAGCCTGGCCCAAGGCTTGGCCCACGGCACAGCATGGGCCCATGCGGGCTCGGGCTGTGGGCCATGTCGAATCGACCCCCAAAATTATCCCAAGGGAGGGAGGCATGGCCTAGGACGCCCTGTGGGCCAGCATGGCATGACCCACACTTTGTGCGAGCCACATGCGGGTCATGCCGTGCTAGCCCAGCATGACTTGATTTACACCTCTACTTGAACCTACCCAATACTAGGGATGGGGCAAGGAAATTTGAGGATTCCCCATCCTTGATGAGTAGTGGGGTGCCTTGCCCCTAAACTGGCCGAACATTGGGGAGTGGTTGCCTTACCTTGAACCCGCCTGACATTGGGGATGGGGCAGGGATGGAGTAGAGTGTCTTGACTATGGGGCAGGGATAGGGATGGGGTGCCCCGCCTTGAATCCACCCCATTGTCATTCATATATAATTGTTAATTATTAGTAAAATTAATAAAAGTGTTAGCTTTTGTAATTATTTTTATTTATTTAAAGTTAATCAAAATTTCATTTAAAAATAATAACAATTATTTAAATTACTACAAATTATTAATAAAACTAAATTTATTAAAAATAATTATTCATATTAAATTAACAATAATTATTTTCTATAAATCAACATTAAATGAAAAGTACAATTATTAAAATTTTAAATATTAACAATAACTTTGAATACTTTTATTTAATTAAAAAATTTGATTATTGATTTAATATTAATTAACAGTAAGTAAAATTATTAAATCTTTTAGATTTCCCATGCATCACATGGGCCCCCACTAGTTTATTTTAAACTCAGGTTGGGAGAGGGGGAATATGATCTCTACTTGTTGCCATTCTACAGGAAATCCCGATTCCACATGTCAAGGGTGATGGGATTTGCTCCTCACAGTTGGGGTGTTTATAGTTCAGTTAACCAAACCGTGGGGCATTTTTTGTAACCAAACTGGTAGTACTGGTTTTTTGAAAACTGGTAATTGAAAACGAACGAAAATCTATCAGTTAATTGGTTGACCGATTCGATTAACCATCGATTCGGTTCATCGGTTTTTTAATTTTTACAATATATATTATAAATATATACATATAAATATAATAAAAAATTATAAATATATATAAAATATTATATTTTAAATAATAAATAATATATCATATATTATAAATATATATTTATATAATGCATATTTATTAATTTATAATATATTAAAATATAAAGTATATATAATATACATAAATATATATAAAATATATAGCAATATATGTATATCAATCGGTTCGGTTAATTACCGATTTTCTATATTAGTTAACCGAAACCGAACAGATACCTTTGGTTTTTTAAAAACACCGAACTGAAACCGAACCGACTAATTTAGTTAACCTATTTTTCTGGTTTGGTTTCAATCGATATTTTCAGTCGGTTCGGTTTTTTTTACTCACCCCTGCCTCACAAAACGCTTCTGACACCGACTTCACAGACATACCACCATTGATAAATATAAGTACGAGAGATGTTTTTGATGTGCGGCCAAGACATGGCACTCCGTTTTCAGTATAGGTATATGCAACACTTTTATGGAAAAGCCCATTTTAGACTTTTCTATGTCCTCTAGCACAATCAGCTTTGATAAGATAGCTCTTAACTAGTGTAGCAGCAATGTACATCCAAACCTTCTTAGTCCCTCTCCCTCATTCTATCATCCACCGTGGCAATGTTTTAAGTTCCCACAGATGCACCACTCTTCTTGACACTTTTCTATGTCAACATCCTCATCTTCCCTATATTCATTTTGAGGTGTCTCTGTGTTACCAATCCTAATTGTACCTTCATTTCTAGTGCTATTAAATTTGCACTGAATGTATCTTAGTAATGCTAATTTTCTTATTTTAAAGCCTTTTGATTCGTAAGCATTCACCCAGGTTTTTTACATAACATATATTGTAATATGGTAAATAGACCTGTTCATGGGCCAGGTCAGGCCAGATTTGGGCCGAGTTTTGTCTATATATCAATAGAATACATTCAGGCCCAAACCCGAATCTAAACCGACCATCAGGCCTAAGTCTTGTGTCTAGAAAACCTCCTCTCTCTCCCCAATGTCTTCTTACTGGTGACAGTCCCTATAAACCAGTAGGACCTGCTCGATAAATTGTACTATACTAGATAGTTGAGGCCAGCTTGAGATCATCAAGTGACTGATTTTGGAAACAATTGCATGACAAGTTACTTGGTTGATGGCTGTGTAAAAGTAGGTTGGGATGGATTAGGAATCAGAAAGAAGGGGAAAATTAAGACAAAAGAAAATTCATGTTTCAAGGGAAAGATTATTTAAGGATGCATTCATATATAATGGTAAAATGACGTTGTTTGCATATAGTTGTTCTTGTTTGTTTAGTGGGTTAGTTAGGTTGTGTAAAGGTACATGGCACAACTGGTTATTAGTTAAATTGGCAAAGTGGGCGATTTAATTCCTGTGAGGTGGGGTTTAAGGTCTGTTGTGGATGTACATAAACGTTAATAAGAACTAGGATTAGTAGGTTGAATTAATTAATGGAGTAAAGAAGATTGTTTTATTTATTTATTTATTTAATAAAAGTAATATAGACTGAAAACAGCGCAGCTACCCACAATACTAAGACTTTGCTTTGATGGAGGTAGTAGGGATGAACCAGTAGTGAACTGCACCACCATGTAGATTACATAAGCTATCTTGCCATTGCAGTAAAAACGCCAATAACCATATTATTGAACTAAGAAGAGAAGCGATGATGCTTGTATCTCAAAACTTAGTCACTTTTGTATCCCATTGGACGTGCTAGTGCCTGTATTTCCTGAGAAAATATCAAAGGTTCATAGTTAGTTAGAACTCTAAAGGAAGCCACAATGATAATAATAATAATAATAATAATGCAAATTTTATGGACCAATAATGGTATTAAAGCCTGATCAAGAGATATAGAAGCACCTTGGGACTTGGGTGGTCAGTTGCCTACCTATCTTATCATCTCTTCATTCTTCTGCCCCATGTCCTATATATTTAGAGGTTATTTCTTTAATTTGTTAAAGATAATTCTTATATATATAAATGATTTACTGAAATTAAATCCTTACTCATCCAACTCCAGATAATGAATGCGCTCACCTCTGCATTACTGATTTATTGCTGCTACCTGAAATTAACTAACTGCGATCAGTCGGTGAGAGTGTAAGGAATAGACCACGGCACGTGCATATGTGAGTGAGCCAGAACAATTGTCCATTGTCCATTGTCCATTGGGGATGTCGTCTTGTTGGTGTGGTTTTCTTGGCAAAGGCCCATCATTGGTATTTGCGAGTCCGAATTGAAGGTGTTTTACGAGTAATGAGCAGGTATGAGGATGTGGGGTCTAAATAATCCTTCCTATATACTATTTGATAACCATCACTTTCCAATTTCTGTACAGAGGGGAACTATTATTTGTTTTGATGATCAAATGGTTTTGCCTATACCCATATTTAATTTGTTAGTATTGGAATCGGTGGTGAGTCCAAATCTGCATTTGCATTCATCTTGCATTTCCCAAAAAGGGTCCGGTTGGACATAATGGGAATTTCATTCCCATTTCCCGGATTCCAAATCTGATCAAATTGTTTTTCTTTCTATTGGAAATTATTCAATTTGAAGAATTGAGGGGTGTGGGGTGGGGGGTCCATATTTCCATTAATGAGCTTTGTAAAGTCCTACAAATGAATAATTCTGTGTTATGCATGTACAAAAATAAAACATAGCATCATCGACTTCATCGCCAGTCACGTAATCACAAGATGCGCATTAATCGTTTTAGCAAATGGCTAATGGCTAGGGTTGTTCAAATATATGATTCAAACTGCAAAACCCAACAGAATCAAACCGAATTTATGGTTTGGTTTGATTTATAATTATAAATGGTTTGAGATTTTTCTAAATTATAATTTATGGTTTCTGTTTGGTTTATTGAATTTTATAGTAAATCAAAATTATATATATATTATATATAATATATCTAAATAGAATATGTAAAATTATGAATATATAATGAATTCTTTATTTTATAATAAAATAATAAAAAAAAATTTAAGTTTTAATTTTTAGGAGAACTATTTAAGCCTAAAATAATCATAGAATGGCCCAAAATCCTTAAACCATATTAGAAACCGCATCAAACTATAGTAAAACAGTTTAATTTAGTTTAGTTTAATTTCTATACCAAAATGGTTTGACTCAATTTAGAAATTTCTCAAATTATTATTTACCGATTTGGTATGAGATCTTCTCCAAACCGCACGAAATCAGACTGTAAACACCCCTACCAATGGCCCTCTGTTTTATTTAATGAAGCTTTTGTCATTAGTACTAAAAAATAAGTATTAAACATTTATTTTTTTATTTTTTATTTCTTCCTAAGGGTTACGTAAGGGGGCGGGTAGCTCATCCCCCAACCCATGACTCCTCCCACCCCTCAGGAAGTCAGGAGACCTTATCAATCAACTCATTGGCACCTTGCATTTATCAATATTTTACCGTAAAAAATTTATCACAATCACAATCAAAATTGACAAATTTTATTTTTAAAAAATGTTTAGTATCGATGTCAATTATTTGAAAATCACTATTAGCATTAGAGTAATTGGCCCTAAAATTTCTGTTTGATTGGCTGATTTTCAAGAAATCTATCCTTAAAATTGACCCTTTTCCAGGAATTACCATTTTTGATGACTTTCTCATCTTCTAAGATAATATGACATCCGATAAGACATCAAATAATAACTCTAATATTAAAATAATCGCTTTTGAAAATTAAGTATTGAATAAACTTAAAACCGACTTCTCAAAATCGGCTTATGTGACTAAAATGATACCAAATAACAATATTTACCGATTTTTAAAAGTCATTCATTTCAAAAATCACTTTGTTTTGCTTATGAACGAACGGGTACCACTCAACCACAGTGTACACAATACACACGAATGTTTCTCTTGTTAAACTTCAGCTAAAAACCTGTGGGGGTTCTAACTTCCAACTTCCATGAGTGTTCTTTGCTACAGATTACGGAATGTAGGAACAAAATAGTAAGATTACCAGAAATTAAAAGCAAAAAAGAGGAATGAATGTGCAACTGTACCATCTTTCTTTCCCCCTTTATCAGCAACCATCACCCTCTACACAATAATCCTCAAAATTTCTCACTGTACAATCCAAAAAGAAAAAAAACATACAGAAAAAAAATAAAAGATTTTGATTGATTTTGGTTTTTGCAAAATTACAAGTCAAAATCCAAAAGAGTTTGGTAACGAAGCTAGTATAGAGAGCAGCAAACAGGGCAACGTACGATTCCGTTCTCGTTACAATCAGGGCATCGTTGAAACCCACTCTGAAATTCGCATTCATCTCCTTCGAAATATAGCTTACAGCTACCGTAACACGTCTCACAGGGCACAAACCTAATATTCCCACAAGTCTCGCATACTCCACCGCCACCGCCATCTTCGTCGCTCCATCCATCGTTCACCACCTCACAATCTCCGATAACCTTTCTGAGTTGTCCGTCGTCGTGCATTTGTTGTATTTCGTCGGCTCCACCGATGTACTTCCCATTCACGAACACCCTCGGCAGACCACCCTTGAATCCATCTCCAAACAACTCATTCAACTCCTCCCTGAAACCGTAATGCATCGAAACATCCCTCTCGTCGACCCGAACTCTATACCCCATCAGTATCACCTGCACATTACAACAGTCCTCATACGTCTTCCTCACTCCTCTCAGGCTCGTAAAGTATATCACCACCTTGTCCTCTCCACCAGGCGGGCACCCATTGGCAATGACGACATTACCATCTTTCACCTTCTCCTGCTTCTCCCCTTGTACGTTTGTATCGTCATTGGAAATGACGATGTTACCATCTTTCACCTTCTCCTGCTTCTCCCCTTGTACGTTTGTATCGTCATTGGAAATGACGATGTTACCATCTTTCACCTTCTCCTGCTTCTCCCCTTGTACGTTTGCATCGTCCAATACATCATCCTTAGACGACACCAGCAACCACCTATTCTGAACTGGGGAGTCCTCGTTTTCGTGCTCCGGCGGTTGGAGGCAGAAAGGGTTCGTCGGGGACAGCTCTTCTAGGGCTTTCCTGAACGTGGATATTATTTCCGGATCAAAATCGGGGACTATGGAATTTGAATTTGAATCCGTATCCTCTGACAACTGGAGCCACAATGGCTTCGGTGATGCCGTGCCGTAGTCTTGTACTTTTGGCTTGGAAAGTTCGACGGCGTTGAAAGAGAAGGAACCATTGACGAGATTGGAGAGTGGGACTGGGCTGGCGTCTTCTAAGCCTTCCATCAATTCCCATGCATTGATGGTTTCTGGTTCGCCCGGAGGTGTTATGGTGGGCGTTCTAGGAATTACCTTGGGGATCTTTGCGTTGCTCAGGTCGGAAGAGCCCTTGGCTTCAGTAATCTCGGTGGCGAATTCCTTGCTATTGAAATTGTCTCTTTTGATGCTTTCTGCAATTTGCCTTACATTGTTTTCCTTGTCGTCACTGATGTAATTCTCAATGCTGTTCTGGTATTGGTGATCGGTGTCGAGCTTGAGAGAATCCATTCTGTGGGACGGGAGGGAGACGACGTGATAATTCCCCCTTTTCCGTTGGGAAGAGCGGCGGCCTGACGCCGAGCGGGTACGCCAGAGAGGCGCTGGACTTCTTCCGCAGTGGCGGCATCGCTCATGGGAATGCTTGGAGGTTACACAACCCATGATTTCTAATTCTATATAGAGAAAGGGACAGAGGATTGTAGTTACAATTTATAACTGGTTTTTGAGAATGGGTTTGTTTTTGTTTATTTTTTAAAGGAATATTCTTCTTAATCTTTTATCTGCTTGAGCTAGAACAAGGTTTTGAGGCTCTTATTCGAAATTTGGAACAGGAAACGGAGAATTGAAGGAATGAATTGGCTTACAACGAAAGGAAAATAGAATTAAACAAATACTGTGCGATGATGAGGTTGGAGAGACTACTGATCAAGGGAGATTGTATGGTCCAAAAACCCTAAAGTATCGATATTTATTACCGATTGAGACAGAGTTAAAGAGGAACAATCAACTTCCCGAGCCAACACTTGATGAAGAAAGAAGGAAAAGTAACCGATGGCGAACACACAAAAGAAGTTTTGAAATGGTAGCTCCAATTGTGGAATCACATTTGGTGGAAAACAAATCAAACGATATCAATTGTGATAGGTGGCGCTGGTATCCATAGGTATTCAAATCCTCCATCGGAGATAAAAGCAGAATGTATCCATAACAATAATTTCACATCCATCGATCTAAGAGAGAGAATCAGAAGAACGATCAAGGAATATTGAGGAAACAGGAAGAGTAATAAAAAATGGTTTTCAGTAAAAGAGAGAAGCATCAAACCGAAGACGAAGTGGCGCGATACAGAAAATTGCAGAATTAAAACAATGTCTTCCAGAGAGATCACGGTAGAATCATCGTGGAATGGTAGAAAAATCCAAAGAAAGGAAAAAGAAAGATGAGACGGAGAAATAAAAATGAAAAGGAGGAGAAGAATCGAAGAATCAAAGTTGTGTGTTGGCCACCGAAACTTCGAAATAACAGGATCGCCGCCGAATTACTATAGCCTATATGGACCCCGGAAAAAAACTCGACTCCAGGTAGGCCTTAGCACCTTATATTTAAATTAATAAATGTCGTCTTGATTTTTTATTAGTTTTTTCTATTAGAAAAGAAAAAGTAAATAGAAGAAATAATGAAGAAAATGCACGCGTTTCGAGTGTGGGGAAGGTAGGCTTGGAAGGACACGTGGTGAATGGGTCGTTATACGTTTTTGGTTTAGCGTCAATCGTTGAGAGTTTGACACATGTCCAATTTTTTATTATTAATTTATGAAAATAGAACCAAATCTAAGTCATACAACACGTGGCATTCTGTTGATACACGAACCATTCCTCTATTCACCACGAGAAAGCTTAATCAGCCTCGCTGCTCTTGAGTCTTGACTGTCAGTCTCAGACTCTCAGGGCTCCTGAAGGAATCAGCTGGTGTGGATTCGAAGGCAAATCCTTTGGACACCTAGCAAACCTAAAAAATACATGTACAATGACACTAGTTGATTAACTGAACAGATGGAGCTTGAATTAGCTGAACGTGTGGCTGTGCTAGTAACTGTTTAACGATATATCAAATGTTTTCGAACCGTCGATGACTTGGACGGTTGGACCATTTGAATCGAAAGTCGTTCAGGTGATCAGTTCCGTTTTACCCCAAACCTAATCTTTAGTAAAAAATCATTGAAATAGTTAAGGAACCATTGAACCAGATGGTTTGACTGTTGAATCGTTCGACTTAGAGAATGGTTTGTGATTTATTAAGTAAGAGCAAGAATGAAAAGAGAAGAAGATCCCTCAAATTTAAGATCTACTAGAGAGAAAAATATCAGTTGAGGGATGTGTGAGACAGTGAGAGAGATCTGAGAGATTCGGGAGAGCAGGCTAGAGTCTAGATGATAGATTTGAGAGAGAGAGAGAGAGAGAGAAATCTAAGACCGAGGGAAATCTTAGATCTACTTCATTGGCACTGTTGTAGTTTGCCATCACCGCCACCGTCGTCGTCACTATTGCCGCTGTAAGTCGTCGTCAACGTCGCCACTGTAGCCTGCAAATGACCTCTTCCTCTTCCTCTTCCTCTTCTTCTTCTTCTTCTTCTTCTCTCTCTCTCTCTCTCTCTCTCTCTCTCTCTCTCTCTCTCTCTCTCTTCTATAGTCCACCAATAGAAGTTGGACTATAGGAAGGGAATCGCCTTCAACTTCAAGAATGCAATTCGAAAATTGTATATGACATGCTGCACTGATGAAGTCTTTTATAAAATGCCATAGCCGCCACCACTATACTGAGGATTTCACCAATACTATTAATATTAATGATTTCACCAATGCTTTCATATGTGTCACTAGTACTGCATGCAGTATCTAAACTTTCAAAAAGTGTCAAATTGGTCCCTGTTATTAACTGATTGCCAGTCATCTGTTGAAAATGTTAAAATTACCATTCAAAATAAGACATTGTTCATTGTCTTCTACTTTGATATTGAACTGGTTGAGGTGTTTGATATTTTAGACTAATGAAGTCATTTAGATCTGAAATACATTCTTGTCTAATTATTTCTTTACTTTCAATTATTATTTCTTTTTATAATATTTCATATTATTTATCTCTTTCTTTGAAGATAACTGATTCAATCTCAAAGTAGAAGATAATGAACAGTGCCTTCTTTTGAAGGATAATTTTAACATTTTCAATAAATAATTGACAGTTAATCAACGACAGGAACCAACTTAACACTTTTTAAAAATTTAGGTACTACACTAACGCATTTGAAAGTTGAGATACTAATTTGTAATAAAGTGAAAATTTTCCCTTTTTTCCCACACCACCACACATATGGTAAAATGCATGAATCCGATGTGATTTATCTTCTCCCAAGTCCTAACCCACAGGAGTGAGCAGCCAATTGGATGATCGATGGAGCAAGAGACCTTGCTGGGTGCGGCCAATTTGATTGACTTTTGGGTAAAGAGAGGGGGTAAACATTGAAAACGCAAAAAGAAAAATGAAAAAGTAAGCAGTGGGATGACCAGAGTTTCAAAGATCAAGACATAATATAGAGGACCGAGGGGAGCATCGATCATGCATTGCCATCTGGCCACCACCATGCATGTCAGATGCCACACCACACCACCATCCAAGACCAAATTAATTAAAAAGAATGAAACAAGTTGATGATCCGCCATATACATGACGTTTCGGGGTGTGATGTACACTTGCTACTCGATCGGCTCAAATCAACTATTGGAATTGGATGAAACTCCCGATCACCCATGAGCCATGACCCAGCTACAGTACTACCACCAAAAAAAAGGCCATAAGAAAGAAAGAAGCTGAGGAAGGAATGTATGGGTTCATGATTCATGCATGTACATTGGAAGGAGTAGGATGATGGGATTCTCCAATTCATCGTCCACTTAATTTACATGTTAAAAATGATGGACATACACGTGACCTTTCTTACTCCTCCCAAGTCCCAACTACACAATCTTTACTCACATAGCCCCGACCCTCATCTATCAATCATGTCTCCACATGTCCATTTTAACTTCTTATCATCAATTCAAAAAATTAACTAATCACGCAACTGATCCTTTCATCTTCAACATAAGTGATTGGATATCATTAGGGGTGGCAATTTTTCACCCAATCTGCTGAATTCATCCAATTCACCCAATCCGCCCATTTACTTGATGGGTCGGAAATGGGTTGATCATCCATTGGCTCAATTCAAATGGGTTGAATTAGGTTGGATTGTGGATAATCATTGGATTAATCATTACAAATACAAATATTAATTTTTAGTCATTTTTTTAATTTTCTTCATTTAAATGAAATAATTTATAATTAATGTATTAATTTTCTATTAATTATTGATAAAATTAGTTTTGTAATCGACATAAATCCATGCATGGTGTAAATAACATGCATGTAATGTGATTTGAACATTCACCACTTATGTAAATACCAACTATTATTACCACCAAGCTATGACCAACTTATTTGTTAAAAGAGAGTTAGTTTTTTGTTTTAGATACATAAATATAAGATTAATAGGTTTGGGCGGGTTGGATTAGTTTAAAGCGGGTTTGGGTTGAATCCAACCCATTTAATTTTATATAACTAGATCATTAATGGGTTGGCGAATTAGATGAAGTGGATTGAAGCTTCACCCAAACCAAACCCAACCCAACACACATACTTCAATGCAAAGAAAGTGGAAAGATGATATTTAGTGAGAACCAGTAGTTATTATACACAATTGCTAATTTGGCTGGTATTTATTAAAACAAGGAATTAAAATCTATGGATGACAACAACTGTGTCTATGTGAGGAACGGAATGGGATCCATTATACTTCTATTTTGCACTCTACTTTCCACTAGACATTGTTCTCTACTAAATATTTTCTTTCCCTCTCATATTCATGTATGTATATTAGGGCTGTTCATAAGAATGCCCAACCCGACCAAACCGACCCAACTCGAGTCGGCTGAGTTTTCATCAGTACCGATCGGTTTCGGGTTGGGCAAATATATAAATTGATATATTGGGTCGGTTTCAGTTTTTTTGTGTGAAAATCGAAGCCAACCCGACCCGAACCGAACTAGTCTTCTATTGGTTCGGTAGTTCCTAGTTTGAGTAGTTTTCTACTTAACTATAACTAGTTTTCTACTAGAACTAGAAGGCCCATTAGGCAATTACAATTAGAATAGGCAATCTATCCTATTTTCTAACTTTCTATAATCTTTTACACCAAATAGGCAACCCATTAGGCAATTACAATTAGAATTCAATTAGGTGTCCTTTTGTATAGGAGCAAAACCGAAACCGACCCAAACCGACTCAAACCGACTAGGTCGGTTTGGCCTATCAGTGGATCGATTTCGATTTCCACCTCAGGTAACCTGCCCAAGTCGGGTCGGTTGGGAAAACCCCAATAAACCGACCCAACCCGACCCGTGAACACCCCTAATGTATATGGACAAAGGAGACTAATCTCCACGTCTTTTTTTTTGTTTTGGATGCTATTTTTGTTTAATAAAAGGTGGAGAAATAGTGAATCAAAGGTGATTATGGGTCTTTCTCACTCTTTATTCCTCACCCTATTCAAGCTCTCATTCTCTCTACATCTCCTTCCTCTTTCTTTCAAGGGCCCATTTATATTTTTCTGGATTTTGAGAAGGGGAGAAAATTGGTCAATAGGAATTAAGTTCCCATTGATTAAGATATTCATTTTTTTTTTCACATTTATGTGGAGGGCAAATGACACCTAAAAGTTGCCAAAACTTAGATGAAACAAAAGTGTGGCCTTTAATAATAACTTTTTATGACTAAAACAGTCATTATCTTATTTACCAAAAAAAAAATATATATATATATATATATGAGTAAATGTATTTATCTGTATAAATAACTTCTGGAAGAGTGAAAGAGGCCCAAATAAATAAATAAATAATTCAGCCCTGGAAACCACTTGATTACTTGAGTGCCCGAGTGAGTAATGTATACTTGGCAAGGTAAAACCCCAAACGGGCTGGACTTGGCAAAGGCGCTGACCTCTGTTTGACGAGGATAAAGAGATAACACAGATGCCGCACACAAGGATGGGGCAACAGTCCAGTTTAAAGATTAAATAATACTTTTCAACAAATAAAATAAAGAATGAAACCGTATGTCTCTTTTAAGTTTTCCATCGTGTTTGTTGTGTAGATATATATTATGTAAAGATATGATTGCACAAAATGGGGGAAGGGCTATAAAACCTACCTGCTCACAAAATTCACTATAGAGTACGGAAAGGATTGCACAAATTAATTACAAAATTCACTCTAGAGGAAAGCCTGAACCCTCTATCTTACTAAAGAGTCTAAACGTCATGAAGAGCTTACATGACACTGACACTCCATTATGTTTGATGGCATTCCAGTTAGTGCTGTAAGTTGTGCAGGCCCAACCAAGCACCCATATTTCACGTAATTGGGCTTGGATATTTTAGGTTTTGGGCTGTTAGTGGGCTTT